AAATGTTGGAACAAGAACTCTCTTTTCAATTGAAACAATCAATGGTCTTATAATTCGTTCTCATTCTCATTTTACTACTGAAGATGAAATTTTATTATTATCAGGAACATTTCTTGAAGTTAAATCTCAATTGAATCCAGCACCTGATTTACATGTTATTCATTTACAACAAAAAATACCACCACATGTACTTCTTGAACCACCCTTTGAAAGTATATCTTAACTTTTTAATTGATGATAAATCTTTTGGATTATTTATATTAATAGATGCCCAACTTTTCCCACCCGTTGAATACCATCTGTATAAGGTAAATTCCGCTATAACCATCATTATTGACTTCTTTTCTGTATAATAGAACCCGGAATTGATTTATGAAAACAATGATAAAGAACGGTATGTCTATCATTTAATTCATTCATCATTGATTGTTTGTTTTAATTTCATCTATATAGCCCTTCGTTTAAGAGAAAAAAATATATATTTAGTAGCGTCATAATGGCATTACTTATTCTTTTTATTATTCTTCTGGCAACACTTTTAGCAACTCGTAAAAAAAGGTTTGCATCATCAACTTCAACTAGTACGACGGGTGAATAAAATTCATGTTGTATTGTTTTAATGTTAGATTTTGTTCTATTTATAGGAGGTAAATATTATGATAATAATATAACTATTTTTGCTCCAGTTTCAGTTGCGTATGCATTTTATTCTTTTGATTATAATGTTCTTGATCTTTATTCCATTCATGATGGACAAGTAAAGGAAGGCATTGAAAATTATATACCATGTTATGTTGGTGCTGGTGGAGCCTTAATCTTGAATGAATCATATCCTATTTGGATATCCATCGCGAATTCATTCAATTTGAGAAATACAAGTTTTACTATAGAACCATTTATTTTTCCACTAAATAATTCAATCAATGCAAATCTTGTTCAATTTTCATCTGGAATATCAATAAATATCAATATGAATTATTTAGAATTTATGTTAAATAAATATACTATGGTTTCTTTAATAACATTCATATCAACAAATGAATAGCATCATATCGCAGGTGTTTTTAGTAAAGTTGATCAAAATGTGAAGATATATCTCGATGGAAGGCTTACTGGACAATCATCATATATAACACAGATCGATTCTGAAAATGGAAATATCACTATGACTATTGGTTCTGGATATAATGGTATTATAGATCAATTATCGATTTCATATGAAGCTAAAACTAGTGATAGACTTCTCTGGAATGCAACTGTTCTTGGATATTATCCTCTTGATGGTGGTACTAACAGTTGGTTACTTGATTATGGACCAAATTGTCAAAATGCCACTTCAGAAGGTACACAAGCTGTGCATGGTTAAGTACGCAATGCTTTAAGTTTTACTATTTTTGGTGCTTATTACCAGGCAAAGGGTTTAGAGCATTAGATATATCTTCTCATGCATTTTCAGTTGCTCTATGGATTCGACCTGAAAATCAATCTGGAGTTTTCCTTACTATAACCAGTCCCATGGCTTGTTTTATTGTACTTGATATTGGAAATAGTGATAATCATATTGTTGCTTATTTACCTAATGCAATAAATACAAGTGTTGGTGTAAATATAATTGGATCATCAATGAATATTGGTCAATGGGTACATGTTGTTTTACATGGAATAGTTAAAATAAAGCTCAACTTTACAAAGGAACTGCTTCTCAAGGTCGAGCTGATACAATGAAATTAAATAATGGTTATGGTGAATCAATGACTGTAACACTTAGAATGTATCATGGAACAGCAAATTGTATTGGTGGAAATGGATTAGATGTAACAAAACCATTTATTGGTTCACTCGATGAATTATATATATTTTCACGTGAATTACAACAGAATGAAATTGAAAAACTTAATTCAACAACTAATTTTTGATTTGATTCTTTTGTTTTTCAGCTTTGATACTTTTGTTATAGAATGTAAAAACTATAAATATATGATAGAAATAATTGAAATTGGAAGAAATCCTAAAAAGAACAATTGCCATTGGACTTATTTGATTATTTATGAAAGAATTTTTATTTCGAGTTAAATCCAATAAAAAAGAGCAAATATTAGATCACTATTCCAATGATTTCTAATACCTTTCATATAAAGTAAACATATAAGTGCATTTGAGTAGAACGGTTTTGTTGAAAAAAAAATTCGTTTGATTTCTGTAATAAATATGTCTTTATGAGAAAAAAGAAAGCCATTGTCTATGGATTATGATTCAAGGTGATTATAGGTTAACCGTTCTTTGACAAAGAAGGTCACAATAAGTAGGATATTTATCGATAGAAGTTTTTTTTCTCTTAAGTTCGTTTATTATTCTTTATTTCTTTTATTATTCTTTATTTCATATTTTATTCTGGATATATGTGCGTGTGTGTATGTGTGTGTCTATTACATTATTGACAAACAAAGAAAAAAGAGAAAGACAGGCCTTCGTTCTACTCAAACCGTAGTTGCGTATAAGAATGTGGACTGACAACAGGTGGTCGTCAGATCGAAGAATGAAAAGCGCATGAGTGCCATTCAATACTTTTTTCTTTCAATACGGTGCATTTAGTCGTGGTTCCAACGTATTTGCTTACCGTTCTTTCAAATAATAAATACTGCCTCATTGTCGATCTTATTTCTAACACGAACTCACGCACAAATACAACGAGTAAGAATAGTAATGTCAGTACATATTCTTCATTTCTTCTTCTTGTTCTCATACGTTTAATTTAAAAGAAAACGAATATAAGAAAAAAAAAACGAAAAATCAGAAGAAAAAAAATTGGCACATAAAACATTAGCCTCCCTTCCCCTTTTTTTTTCATTCATGTTAGATGACGCGAGGATGAAGATGATGATGGTGAGTATCGTAAATACTCTCATTCTCTCTCTCTTTCACTTACTTTCTTTCAATACTGTCAAGAGCTTCTTATCAAATATATGAAGAAAAGACATCCACATACGTTTGTGCACGTTTAATCGCATATTAGAATTCCATTTATACATAAATATATATAAATACATTTGCACATTACTGAATGATTTACGTTCATTTTAGAAAAAGAAAGAGAGAAAGAAAGTAACCGTAAAGTAATAATCAGTGTTGATTGAGAAACAAAAACACTCGATTGAAAGAGCAACACAAGGCTCTTTTAAACGAAAAAAAATGAAGGATGATGCCGTTAAAAAGAACGAATAGAAAGCAAAAAAGAGAAGTCAGTTTTATTTTTACTTTTAATTCTTACATGAGCAAAACGAAAACTGCATGTGTACACATTTTGTATTATCGATTTTGAATTAGTAACAAAACAGTTAAATTTATAATGCTCGTGTAATCGCCAGCGGACGTTAAATACACATATTATACATCAAAAGGTATGCATTATAGATATTTAAACTAATTTTATACATAGTTTAGAGAAAAAAAATACATATAATTAACTCTTCATATAAAAAGTTTTATCATCAACTAAGTAAAGAAGTTATAAAATTGAATCTCTTTCATAAATGAATGACATGAATTACAATTTGTGATAAGGCGACAAAAAAAAATACCGCAACATAAAAAAGACTTCATTTTTTATTGATTTAAAAATGCTTTCGAGTTCGTTACTAGCGTCATCAAACTACATTATTCGTATACGAGGTAAGTCATATATAGGGGTGTAATTGTAGACATTTATGTTATGTTTGACGATTCTATGTAGGTTTTCGTGCTATATGAGATCGTGTGAAAACACAACAAACTTCAAAAAAAGAAGGGAAAGAGCATTACATGTTCTTGTTTATCATTTACTTTTTCTTCCTTTTCAAAACGATTTATGTTTATTTTAATGATTTAGGTTTATTGTCGCCAAATTTATCTTCATAGTTATTTAAACCTTTCAACAGCAATTCAAGGATGACGACAACAACAAAAGCTGTTCCAACAAATAATTCATTCGATTTTACACCAGCAAAATCATCAACATCACCAACCACATGTATCATCTGCAAACGTCTTTTATATTCATTTGAAGAAACTCTTGCTTGTTAGTGTTTTTTTTTAACTTTTATTATGTTTTAATCTGAATTTATTTGCTCATTTTTTTTTGTCTCCTTTTACCAAGGTCAACTATGTCATGGCGCGTATCATTGGCGTTGTGTGCAACCTGAAACGATCTCTCATTATGATGAAAATACCCTTTTTATATGTGGAAAATGTAATGAAAGCACAACAACAACAGCAACTAATCCATCGTATCGACTTTCAAATGGTAGTATTAAAATAAAATCACCTGATTCATCCGCAATCGATTATCGAGATTTTGCAAGTATACCATCAAAATTAAATACAATACCAACAAAAGATACGACTGTTGTCAATGCTATTCGATATTTTGAAGAAAAGCAACAACAACAACAACAACAACAACAACAGCCACATACAATGACTCAAATAGATGAATTCAATGAGCATCTTACATCGCAAGCGAAGGGTAAAAAGATTGCACTAACTCTACCTTTAAGATATAGTTATGATCAACATGTTTATTTCTAAAGGTTAAATTTTACTCCAAGATCAAAATTCAACAGAGCAAAAAACAAAAGAATCCCTATGAGCTATGAATAAAAAAAAATTGATTTCATATTCTTCTATATACTAAATCTCTATAGAATCATTGAATCAGTAAAAAATTGTCAACTATGTATATTGGCAATTTTTTTCTTGTATGTTAGTCCATACAAACTTTTATGATTCAACCCATAGGGGATATTACTTACACTAGCAATAAGAAAAAGTATTGAAGTTCATGCGCATGTATGGTTATGATCATCATGGACGTGATTAATGCATATGGACAAATATAAATCCTTTTCAAATATTCTCCTTCCTTTTCATTCCCTCATTTTTCTTCTTCTTCGTCTCCAACTTATAAACACTTGCATTTTATCACTTATGTGCTTCTGGTATTTTGTCTTATTTCTCTATTGTAATTTAGCATTTCTATTTTTTCCTATACAGGTCAATATATCGATGGTAGTAAGACGAATCGCCATTATCAAGAACAACAACATCGTATAGGAAGTGACGACGACAACATGACAAAAGAAATGTTTCAAGCTCATTATCAATATACACCACTTAAAGAATATGCTGCACTAAGAAATGATCCAACGACGATTGATACTAATACATATGCTTATCAAAGTATTGATATTAGAGATAAACGAACTAGTGTTTAGACTTTGTAGATGAAGTTAAGATAAATTATTTACGTTATCTTTTTCATACGACAATTAAGAACATCTAATAGAAATACGTCACTTGAGAGATAATATTCTTAAAAAATGCATTTAAATATACTATTTAAATAGACAGTCATACAAGAATAAATGCACCTATAATAGCAATGAGTAAGAGAATAAAAGTGTGTGAAGACCTGAAATAAATCTTTCTCTTTTCTAATCAAAATTTTACAATTTATTACTATTGAAGATTTATAAACCTTTTGAATTCATGAAATTCTTTTCGATAAAAGTACTTGAAGAATATAAAAATTTAACAATCGAATGTTTTCACCAATGTATTTGACAAGTACAAAAGAATATACTGAAATTTCATAACGTTTCTTTTTATAGACTCAACGTAATAAAAAACATTTTCAATAACCTTTATCTTTTCTTTTTTCTGTAATCTATTCAAAAGGACTTTAGACATATTGATTTCGATCAGAATGAAATTTTCTTTGTTTTTAATAATGTTATTCGAATTTCAAAATCTCTCTCAAATGTCAATCGATATTTATTTTTATTTAACCTATTGCTTTCTTATAAATGTCTAATGTTTAGTCACGTAATATCAATCTTTTATTATTTTAGCTCCTCTATCAACTGATTCTGATCGTCAATTATCATCTCGTTATGGTATTGGTGTTAGTCTACGTTATACAGATCAGGCTTATGAACCAACAGAAGGTCGTATTTATGAAACTCCATTAAATAATTCAACATCTTTTACAAGTCCAACTATTGATAATATAACAATTCATAATCGTCCACAACATTTTACTAGTACTACTAATTTAAATGTAAATGATACATTATCTCGTCGTCAGCAACAACAACAACAAAATAATTCTAAAACTTATTTTACTCATTCAGCACCTTATTTATCTCAAGTTCGTGATGATGATTCATCAACATTTAAATCTTCATATCCACAAAAACAACAACAACAATATACAGACCGTCATTCAATTGTTGGAAGTGACTCAGGTATTGTTATAGTTAAACCAAATCATCAACATCAGACAACAGATGATAGTCAAGTAGTTGAAAAGAAATTAACAGATTTAGTTCAAAAATTAGGACGACAAATAGAAACTGATACACAACAATTAAGTGAAAAATTAGAATCAAAATTAAAAAATTTAGAACATATGATTAATCAACAAACATTTATTATTCGAGAACAAGATGAAGTTATTGAACGTTTAAAAACTAAAATATTTAAGATTGAAACAGAACGTGATCAATTTCGAGAACGTTTATCTTTTCATGAGCAACGTGAACATGATGATAGAAACGATCAAATGACAACAGCAATACATAAAGCAACATGTATGAAATAATCAAACTAAAAATTTCATATATTGTTCGTTTTGCATTTTTTTCTGTAGATCCGAAAACATTTGAACATGATGATGAACAACAAACATTGAATGATGCTTCAACGAATAGAAAATATTCCAATTCATCATCAGTTCTTACAGATCAAAGCAAACGATCGAGTAAAAAGGTTCATAGAAAAGAAAACATTAAAATTTTTGTGAACAAAATCGAAAAGAAAATTATTGAGGAATATCAGTGTTGATCATGACCAGTATCCAACTATGGACGGAAGACTTTCGAATATGTTTATCAGAGCTTACCATAAACTGAACTTATGAAAGCCAATCCACGAGCTACTGATATTTGTCATAATTCAGTCCATGAATTGTAGAGTCAGTCGGATCTGGTCAAACGGCACCTTGATATTCTTGAGAAAATTCCTTATTATAATTCGATAGTCGCGCTGAAGATAAGAGATACTATTTTGGTATTCAATGTCTAGTGTATCCTATGTATTTCTCAGACACCTAGAGCTACTCGAAGCAAAATTTGCAGGTTCGAAATCAGATCGTCACTCAGGTTCATCCTACATGTCAAACAAAACATTGCAAGCGACGCGATGTAGGTACTACGCAATCAGAGACGAATTCCGAGGTTGACCAAATCTAGGACTTACCCGACGGACTCTGATAAGCTAAATATCTAGTTAAATATTTTTTCCATAGGTAGTTTGACTTGTCGGGCAAAATACTTATATGCTAAAACAAAACTAACAAAACTCCAGTGAGTTATGTAAACTAGCGATATACTAAAGCCCTTTGAATCTGTCAGTGCTGTGTCAACAGTTTCTCTATAAATTACCATTACTTCAATTATATATTTATATTCTTTGTATACATACTCATTCTTCATTGAAGAAAATTTGATCGATGAACTAGCATCAATCCATGAGTCAAAGCTCGTAGTTTATGGATGCCTATCAGAGAAATGTATTAGTACAGTCCAGACCATGATTTTTATTTTCAAAAGTTTTTGGCTCATTAGATCGACTAGACTTGGCTGAATCTATTGAGATTTCCGATACTTTTGTAAATTCAAGTTAGAGATGTCTATAACGATTGGAAATCTGTCCTTACGGTAATAGATATTTCTACTTCAAATTAATAGTTGAGACAAGGGTGTATCGGTAACATTACATTTTGAAAGAAAAGAACAACACTATTGCATCTTCATCGGTTACTTTTTCAAAATGTATCTTAAGACTAAAACATGTTAGCCCTTTTTCAATCTAAAATTTAAATGAATAAGTACAATATACAATTGAGTCATTTAATCCGATCATATTTAAAACCAGTCATTGAAAGTAATATCACGTATTATGAAGAATCCTATTCATAGAAAAATATCAAAATTTTTCTATTTTTTAGTCTGCCGCTCCACGAATCGGTCATCGTGAATCATTTGTTAATAATGAAAATGAATCAACTCTTGCTAAACTTGTTAATAGTAATTGTTTTTGTTTGTTGATAAATATAGAAACTAATTTTCAAATCTTTTTTCTATTATAGCTTTTCCAGCTAATCCAGATCGACCTGTATCTGATTCTTCAACTCCATCAATGGCTGCTTTATTAGCTGCATCTGTACCTTTAATAGAAAAACCAGCTGCAACTAATCGTCTTGATGATGTAATTCATCAATCCGATGCAGACGATACACCTGAACCAATATCATTGTATTATAATGAACCTGGTGTTCGTCATCATGATTCCAAACAAATGCCAACCGAACAACAAGAATCAATTATAGATGTTCGTGATGATGACGATGATGAACAAATCGGACGCATAGTAACATCTGATATGCGACTAGATCAATCAGCTTCATCATTATCATCTCCTGCAGCATCCATACATGCTGAGAAAGATAATTTAACACCAAAAAATAGTTATACATTACCTGTTAGAAATTCTAGTACATATCGAAGTTTGGAATCATTACCACGTAAATCATCTCCAACTGAAGAAGGATTAAAACCGCCGACTAAAACATCTTCACTGGAATTCAATCAAAAACCGGTGCGATATGATGATCCAGGTTCAATCTATTTTATACCACAAGAAGCAACTCATCCAGCTTCACAATATCAAGATGTTGTTAAAGGATGGCTTCGAAAACAAAATCGAAGTAAAATATACTTATGATTCGAAATTCAAAATTCTTTTTTTTCTGCTAATAATAGGTTCAATTTTTAAACGAGTTGAACGTTATTATTGTGTTTTATCGAACAATACACTTTTAATGCATAAACATGAACATGATAGAACTCCATATAAAGGAGTAAATCTTAAAGGTAAAAAAAACGAAAAGAAAAATTAAATTTTCATAAATATTTCTTTTTATGATCATTCTATGATCTTATAGGAGCAAAAGTACTTCAATATGAAGATCAAAAATATGGACCGTCTCTTGAATTAACTTGGTCACCTCGAAACAATCGTACTAAACATTATCACGTAAATTATTTTAAAAAATTTAGAAAAATTTTAAATGATTTTAGAGGGACTCTTTTATAGTTTTATTTCTTGAAAGATAGGCACAGCTATTAATTTAAAAGCTTTGTTTATTTGAAAAAAACACAGTTTAGCAAATGAATGAAATTCGAAATGGTATTGCCTCAACAAGGTAGTTAACAGAGAAGCCAGAAGCATCTAAACTTCAAGTATTCAAAAGAGCCTTTGACAGACTTGTTGTAGAACATTCGAGTAAATAATGTAAATCCATTACATTCTTTAAAAGGTTGATTAAGAAGCGAATAAACATTTGACTAGCATCATGTTGCTATAAAGTTTTGTCTTTTTATAGTTTGACTAGATAATAATAAGAGTCTAATCCTGAACAAAACCAAGCTCTTGGCAGAATGCGTCATCTCGTTCCATGCTTTTTTATTTGCTTTATAGTGAGTCAGATGAAACGACATAATAATGAATAAATAAACTATTCATTAAAAGCTTAAGAATACTGTATTCAGTGAAATCGAAGAATGACAATAATGATGAAAATTTTCATCTAAAAATTAATACTAGCTGAATTAGTATTTAAATTTTGAAGTTAACAAATGTAAATCAATAATTGATTTAATAATAATTCTTTCAAAATTCATGTATCATATGACACGGTTCGATCAATTTATTTTAATATTAACTAGTTTAACAAGTAGTAAGAAATAATTTTTTGAATTGTAACTAGTTAGACGAGACAAATAAATCCATTTTAATGAAGCACAATTAAATTAGATCTTCTCTATATATTATTTTTGAATGAATTATTATTTAAGAAGATATTTATATAATTTGAAAACAAAGGAAAAACTGATGGATGAATAATAATTTCAAATGTGTGTTGTAAGATAGGAAATAAAAATAAGAATTCAGCCTGTTCCGAATGAAATTTTCCCCTATAAAACGTACCTCAAATTTTGAATAATGTACAAATCCGAATTTCATCTAATTCTTCGAAATTGAACAGATTATCATCCTATTGTATTATGATTTTTCAAAATCTTATTTACCGTATCTCTTTTTTTTGTCATTCCTGTCTTTAACTCGGTCTCATTTGACATAAAACAATTTCTTTCTATTTAGTTATATCTAAATAATCAACAAGAAGCTCAACAATGGTTAACTGGTATTCAAACTGCCATAAACAATCTATCAGACAGTAAGAGGTATTTGTATTTTACCGAAGTACCAAAAAGTAAAAAACAAAAAACTATTATTGCTTTTCTCTTCGCTGAAGCTTCTAAATCAAAAAAAAAACTTCTACGGTAAATGCCAAAGATTATTAACTATAAAATGCTTCTTGGGATAATACATTGATCAAGCTGATATTTTGTCAGAATTGTCTCTCGTTGACGTGGCAGTTTTTTCTCAGGGAGATTGCAAAACTGCACGGAATTTCACTGTTTTCCAATGTAAAAATTCAAGACTCGATAAATTCTTTTATAATTCTGTTAGTCTCATCAGATCATTGTGATAAGGAAATTATCAGCTTGATTGTTATGATATACATGAAAATGTTTCATTGTATATATGATCTATTAAAATTTGATTTTTGCTCAAAAAGAAACAAATATTAAATTAAACAATATTTTCTAATTTTTGTACTTTCTAGAGAATAAATGGCAACAATATCGTATAAATGTATAATCAACAATATCGAGAAATCAATTTTCTCCCGTCCATACCATGACTATGTTTTTTTTTCTTTTTCTTTTTTTTCTTCTTTTTGTATTTCTAATATATGCTAATTTTGTTTTTTCCTATTTGCTACACATGCATACTTATTTATACTTTTTTTTGCTCTTTATACAAATAGAATAAAATGTATTTTACAAAGAAATAAATACTTAATTTTTGTTAAATGCTCCGGATATGCCAAGTCTTTCTTGGAGGGGACACCACGAAAGCTGATGTAACATATGACCTTCGTAGAAATGTTTAATGTCTACGAATCAAGAGAAAACTTTTAAAATTCATCTCTATTCCTTTAAAAAACAAAGTGTCATAGATTTTAGTGAAATTTGCATAATTTGATGCGAAATCCTATGTTGGCGATGAATACATGGTTGCTGTTAACTTTTTTTGTTTTCATCCTGATTCCAAATATGTTTTCTGGAAAAAGAATAAAATTCCGTATGAACGCTACTTTTAGTTTGTAATCTGATGTGATTAAGCTTGTTAAGAAATGACCTGATATTCTAAAAGTCTGTTCAAATCTGAGTAACTTATAGAGAAAGTTTACTTATATGTTGCTTCATTTCGCAATACAATCCTAAACTCTCAGCTCTGTTAAACAAAAATTCCATTTGTTGAAAATTAATTTAATTTTCACTGGCAATACAGTTAAATAGTCTGTATCTATAAAAAAAAACTTTTACAGAATTTTCTGTTGTCATTGACGAGAAATACATGTTACAATGTAGAAAAATGAAATTCAGTAACGTTTGCTCATGCTACTATCTAACCACAAGTAACTTTGTTCATGTACAGAAACTGAGATTATTAATATAGCTTTCACAAAACTATTGCATTAATGTAAATCTAATACTTCATAAAACTGTTTGATTCATACTTTGAGACTAAGCTATTGTTGAAAGTGAAATAAATTAGACTCTTTCGAGCGATTTAGAAGTGTACAAAAATTTATTAATCGACCATTAAATCAACTCATTAAATGATTATCATAAATTAGAACTAACAAGATTACCCAGCGAAGGACGTCCTCTAGTTAATTACTCGTTTTTAAGTTAATACTATGTAGATTATATAGATACAAATGAGTCGTGAATACCTTGAAGAGAGTTCGTGTTCTTAGCTTATTGTTGTGTAGATATGGCATTACTATGGTATGTTATAAATGAATGTCATGGTCTCTCTTAGAGAAACTGGTTTTTGAATTTTGATTTGAAACTTTTCATGGAGACAGACGTTAACGAGAATAGTTTTTATTTGTGAATGTTTCATATCTTGTTGCTGTTCCTATCCTAAGATACAACTATGATAATAGCGTGTCTTTTACATTTCTAATCTAAATCGGCAGATTTTGTGTTCTCGGTTTAATATAGCAGCAAATTAAAAGACTTGAGACTTTTACAATGAACCATTCTTGTTAAGAGTTATCTCTATACAAAGTTGCATTTCAAAATTTAAAAAATCAGTTTTTCTCTTCTTGATGAGCAATGTCAAATCATTCATGAAAAAAATACCCTAAAAATGCCGTATCTCCCATGCAATAAGCTAAAGACATGAATTCTTTTTAGAGTATTCATAGCTCATTTCTGTCTACATAATGTACATAGTCTCGACTCAAAAAATGACTTATCAGTTAGAGGATTTCCTTCATAAGATCAATGACATTCAATTGATAGTCTATTCAAATAGCTCATTAAATCTTTCAATCAACATTTCATTGTAATCAGTTTCAAATGATTTTAAATTTTCATTGTTGAATAATAGGCATAAAATAATAATATTAGTATTAGTTTATTACCAACCAATACATTTCCTTATCGTCAATACTCACTGTAACGGAAAGTCATTGAGTTGTTATCTCAGGCAATATCCATAATGGAAATGAACCATACCTAAAATTTCATGCAAGATCCTAATTTTGAACTATATCACTTGAAAAACGAAATTATTAAATACTCACTCAAATAAATTATTAGACGAACATTACAAACTAATTCTAATGAGAAAATTATCGAAAAGAAAAATATAAACTTTAACGTCTAAAATAATATTTCAAATTAAAATACACTTAATTAATCATGATATAAGGAGTTTAAACAAACAAGATTTTCTTTGATATTTAATAATTAGAAAATGAATAAAATTATGTCTTTGACCGTTAATCCTTGACACTATTGACTTGTACATTTCTTATATATTTTGCTATCTTTTATCGAATATATAGACAATAAAACTAACTTATCTGCTGTCATTTCATCATTCGATAACTATTCATGGTCATTGGTGATACAATTGAAGAAACTCGACATTAATCAATTTGACAACGTTGGTCTATGATGTGATTAATGTGACGCATTCTATTTCACTCTAATTTAAGTCAAATTCACTAGCGAATCGTTAAAAAATCGATGCACCACTAGAGACAAGCATACATATATATATATATAAATTTCCATTGAGAATCGATCAATTTTTTTGTAGTTGCATGTATACGCATTGTTTCTATTACATATACAGTTCATTCATTTCTTGAAATACAGCATTACAACAACAAATACTTAATAAGTATTCTTTTGATGTTTCATGGAGTATTATTTGAAACAATCAATTGTTTATTTTATAATGTGTGAGAAAGAAAAACGACGAAAACGGAAGTAACAAAAACAAATTAATTGACTACTTCCTTTACGATTTCAATCAATATTGACCGATCCTGCTTTTGATTGAGTGTAAATGTTAACCTTATTGGCATCTTTTTTTTATAATTTTATCATTGATAAAACAATAACCGGAGGTATATATTGTTATAAAAACATTTCATAATGTATGATCTACTCTTCGTATTATAATTAATGTTTTTGTAAAAAATAAAAGAAAAAAAAATGAACGATAGGCTTCACTCTCAATCAATCATTATGCACGGCAGCAGCTGCCAGATATGTTAATAGTTTGGCGGCGACTATTGCCCCCATAAGCAATATTTTAAGAAAGCCTTTCTTTTTTCAAGCAGATGAGTACGTTAGTGTATTGCTTGCCTCGTATATATATATATATATTTATGTATGGACAGATGTCAAAAATGAACACGAAGGTCAACATTCTGCTTATATATATATATATTCTTTTTCTCTCTTTCTCTTCCTCTTCGATCATCAACTGCATCATGGCATTAACATTTCTTATTAGGGGAAAAAAATCGAGGACATAAACTCATGCACTACTGCATCCGTGTATACGCATTATTATATGATGTAATCACATCGCTTCATGTACGAAAACATGCTTGCACTTTACTTCTCTCGTCTTTTACACTTCGAATGTGTACATGTCGTTCGATAGAAGAATAACAAAAAAAAATGAAAGAATGTCTATGTACGTATGCAAATATAGCTGTTGATGCATGTTTTTCAATTTTTATTCAACATTCAAAATCAGTAATTTTTCTACTGCTGTGGTTTTTTTCGAAAGGCAAGTTACATACATCATTATTAGTAGTTGTAACCTTGTATGAAAATGTAATGAACGACAACTCATCAATGTCAGACGAAAGGATAAAAAGGATAGAAGATCATCCTCGTTCTTTTTCTTCCCTCCTACAATGTGTTATACAAAGTACCGCCGTCCCGATCGACATTTTCTCTTTTTTTTTTCTCTCTTTCTTTTCTCTTCTATTAAAGAGATAGATAATCCTGCACACTATATTGAGAGCTTATGTATGACACAACATTCTTAGAAGCTATTATACGCATCATTATATTTTTTTTTACTAAATTCTTCAAAAATAACAACGATTAACATTTTAGAAATAATTCTAAAATGGATGCTGATTTAGCACAAAAACTTAGTCAGCGTATACGTCGCATTGAATCAGTTGAATCATCATCTGAAACATCATCAATTAATGGTAATAGTTATGGTGCAGGTACAAATGATGAATCTGATTCACCATTATCATCTTCATCAGCAAGTTGTGAATATCATCGACCTGTTGTATTTAATCCTTATACTGAATATAGTGAATTTTCACGTAAACAAATACAAAGTTTAATGCAAACATTTAATAAGTAAGAATTCTATTTAAAAAAAAAAACAAAGTTATAATATTTGTTTGTTATGTTTTTATTTTTTCAAAGATATGATATAGATAAAGATAAATTACTTAATTTTAATGAACTAAAATTTATGATGGAAAAACTTGGTATACCACAAACTCATTTAGCTTTGAAAGAAATGATTAAAGAAGTTGATGAAGATAATGATGGAAAAATATCATTTCGAGAAGTAAAAAAAAAGAATTATTTTAGAGATAGTTGTTTTAATGCAATCATATGTATTTAATATCTACTAGTTTTTACTTATTTTTCGAAAAGCAATGACAGAAAATAGTGAAATTGAAAACGAAAAATCATCGATTGCATCTGTTTTACAACAACTTTATTCAATGCTCGTAGAAATTGATGTATCAAAAGAAGGTGTTGGTGGCGCAAAAAATTTTTTTGAAGCTAAAGTAAATATATTTTTTTTTCTATTTTGTTTTCCGATATTTCTCATATATTATATTTTCTTCTATCTAGGTTGCTGCTATTAAAGAACAAGATAAATTTCAACGAGAAATTCGTGAAGAACAAGAACAACGACGTCGTATAGAGGAAGATAAAGCTCGTCGTAAAGTAGCATTTCAAAATCGTCTTGCACAATTTCAACAAACATAAAATAAATCAATTGACAATATACATTCTCTGTGATACATAATATATATATATATATATATCCCTTAAATCTCGTGTGTTGTCTTAAATCATGTGTGCATTTTTTTTTGTTCTTTAATTAGAATGAACTAATTCTTCATTTATTTGTATTTCAATAATGAACTAATTTTTTTTCTCTTGAGTGAAAAAAAGAAGAATTATTTAAATAAATCAATATGATGTAAACTAGTTCAATGTATCTGTTGT